TGTATATATAATATATAATAGAATATATTAGATATATGTTCTATATAGAATAGGATATGCATATATATGGCATATTATCTACAAGGAGTTGTACAATTAAGTTTTGACTTAACATGACAATTTATGAATACAATGCATCTTGATCAATGTCACCCTTTCCATCATTTTCTCACCTAAAATAGGATATATTTAAAGATTTTATGATCTTTAGTCAGAGTCATAAGGGAAAAACTTTTGAGTTGATTATATTTAAGACAGAAAGTGCTGTGTGGTCAAAGCAGCATAAACAAAGTTAAAAGATAAGTTCAAGCTTGGACAAAATATAAAGTGTATGAGTTTTTTTACATAAATGGTAAGTAGGTCACAGAGATGCTCACAATTCCTTCCTGTTTGCATGCCCTTTTCCAATGTGACCATGTTGTTCCTTCCACCAAGAGGCAGGAGCTAGTTCTGTACCAGAGAAACTGAGTTGATCCCATGGTCCCCTTGTATAATAGAATATGACCAAAACAATGATACCAAAGGTGTTGAAGAGCCCTTGCAACTTCTGCATTTATTCTCTTGCTACTAAGAGCACGATGAAAAACTGTGCGATCTGCTCTCTTTGAGAAAGAGGCTCTGTGGAGAGAGGCAGGAGTGACAGACTTAGAAGTGAGGTTATCATGGAACACCTCAACCACATCAAACCTACAGGTAATCATCTGTAGCTGCAAGATTAATTTGGGGCAGATAACAGAAGAATCATCCAGCAGTGCCTGGAGCAATTACTGACGTGCAAGCTCTTGAGCAGATACAATGGTGGTTACATTAAACGATTAAATTGGGGAATGGTTTGTTATGCAGTAGCTAAGTGGGACAATTATCCATCATTTGTAAGAAATTCTAGTGATAAGAATAAACTGCTTAGTGGAAAATAGGCAGGCAAGTCAGGAAACAAAAACATAAATGGGTACTGATGTACATCAAAGCTGAAGAGATCTCATTGATAGATGGGAATACGAACGTGAACTCTCAGGTCAGCCTGCTTGGGCCCAAGTCTTTAGCCCCACCCCACCACAGTTATGTAGCTAGTCTTGAGCAAGTTACTTAAATCTCACTGAATTTAAATTGTTTTTCTGTAAAATGGCTACAGTAGTCCTCCCCTATCCGTGGTTAACTGTGGCTTGAAAATATTAAATATGAAAGTTCAAAGATCAGTAGATCCAAAGTTTTAAATCTCACACTGCTCTGAGCACTGGAATTTTATTACAGTACATGGTTAAACTTTTTTTCATCTTATTCCAAGTCAGTACTTTTAACTCTTACCATGCCTATATATAAATCAAAGTTTATAATAGGTATGGAGATAGAGGGCAAAAAGCATAGCATATATAGTGTTTGGTGTTATCGACAGTCTCAGGCATCGACTGGAGGGCCTGGGATCCACCTTCCGAGGATAATGGGGGCTATCCATCCTGCTCTTGAGATCAGGGGGAGTAGCCTCATCTGTCCAAATAAATATTGCCTTTGCTTCTATTAATGAACAGTGAATAAGAGAAGCTAAGCGGTTTCACTGAAGTCAACAGACAGATAAAAGAGAGTGCTCATCAAGATGGCAATTAGGACACAAAGTTTGGTTTGAGTGTTCTTGTAGAAATAATCAATCTGGTGTTTTTATAAAACTCTTAATCTTCCTGACTCACGGAGTACAGGTTGACTACCAAAATCACAATTCTAAATCTGACTGGTGTTTTTAGAAAGGCACTCGCTTGTATGTCAAGCACAGGTGGCTCACAGCTAGAATCCTACTCAGGACCCTGAGATCTAGGGGATCATGATTCGAACTCTTCCAGGGCAGAAAAGTCTTTGAAACTCTATCTTCAGTTAACTTGCAAAAAGCCAGGCTAGAAGTGGTAGAGCACCAGCTGTGAGCAAGAAAGCCACACAAATACATTAAGTAGCTCTGGGTTCAAACCATAGTTGTGAAAATAAAAGGCACTTCTATTTTAGCTGAAAAGATATCATTATGATTATAATTGTTATTGCTCACTGAGTCTATATTTTGAGATGTTCTGTCTTCTACACCGTTTTTTTTTTTTACTATATTAATTGTTTTGTTAGTGTTATTCAATTGAGGACACAAAATAATCTGAGTACTTGAACAATGATAAACAGTTATTTCAAAGAGGAGATAGCATTCCCCTTAAAAATAAAAATGTTCATGTTCCCACACATTTCTCATGTAACTATGGCAAACCACTGTTCAGTTTCTTATTAGATATTTTATAATAGTGAAAATAGTATAAAGCTTAACATCATTATTTTATGCCCTGTTAGTTAGTTAATGGAGATAACTGCTCAAAGTAGCTTACTGCTACCCTATAATAGCACCTACACTACTAGGCTCAGTCTTTTACAGAGTCAAAAGTGAGTCGCTAGAATGCTAAAACTACCATAAAACCTTGTTAGATGATGTTCATAAAATATGTATTTATTTGTATATATATGTATTTATATATGTATTCCTATAAGACATAGGAAGACTGTGAATGTCTATTTGAAAATGTAACTTGTTGAAAGGCTTTTCTCCCCCTCTTGTTGTTTTTACACTATAAAAATAACAAAAGCAAGGCCAAGCAGGCTCTGGTGGCTCACGTCTATAATCCTAGCTACTCAGGAGGCTGAAATCTGAGGATCACAGCACAAAGTCAGCCCAGGCATACAAGTCTGTGAGACCCTTATCTCCAACTAACCACCAGAAAACCAGAAGAGGTGCTGTGCCTCCAAGTGGGAAAGCACTAGCCTTGAAGGAAAAAGTTCAGGGACAGGGCCCGTGGCCCTGAATTCAAGCCCCATGACTGACAAAACAACAACAACAACAAAAATGACATAAAGCAAATTAAGGAGCTTTTGGCTCTGAAGCTTAGTTTCTCTATTTGAAATGAAGTAATGATAGCATCTACTTCACAAGACTTTTCTGAGGATTAAAGAAGTTAATATATGCAAAGCGTTAAAAACAGTGTTTGGCATATAAAAGGCACTTAATAAATCCTAGCTATTATTGTCGTCCTTCTTAGTTGTGCTTTATTGGGTGTCCTTGATAGGGCCAAATGAGCAAATCTGAAGTAAGGGTGTGTCACTTTTTAAACTACTCAAACATAGTAAAATTTGAGTCAACTTGCCTCTGTGTCATATTTTAGAATTTTAAAAGCAGAAATAACCACAAAAATAAAGTGTGAGTGTGGGTTAACTTTTTGATCACTAAGAAGGATCCTAAGAGCTCAGATAACACAAAGCCAACAAATGTCAATGGGATTTAAGAACTGCCTTTCAACATCTGGTAAACAGAAAGAATGCATCGTCTACAGAATTGTCTTCAAATCCACCTGCTACTAACACATCCACTTTCTGAGGCCTGCTAACAGCAGTCTGACTAATGTCTTTTGCATAACTCCTGCATGGAAGAACATCTCCTGCCCATTTGAATTGCCATGCCTTTAGAATATCAGAGAACCAAAGAAATAACTTGGATCGGGAAGAATATAAAACTTTTATAGTAAGAAATTGTGAAAAAACAAGTAAAATGGTGAACTAACCTGTTAAACTCATCATTCTGCTTGGATAATGGCGTGCTTTCAATGGGCAGAAGAACTGAACTGGTGGATTAGCAGCTACTTGGGACCCAATATAACTCCTCGAAGTGTTACTCTTTCTAAATCCCCCATTTCTTCTGCCCTCTTGGGGGCAGCTCTTCAGCCACATCCCCTTTGGAGAGTTCAACCTACTTCCACCAGCTGCTACTCTCATTAACTTACTGCTGGGGCAGAAAAGGCCAACCCCAGGTTATTCTAATGATAGCAAACACCTCATAAAGAAATCTGCCAAATTTACTTTTCCATAGAACATCAGTTTTATAGCTTTTTTTCAAGACTCCAGGAGGAAAGACAGCATCATGTGTAAAAAAAAAAATACACGGACTTCCAGAAATCTTGCTGATATTAAGAATGATTCCTACAGTAGTAGGCTGGTGACATACACATCTCTAAGGGACACCTATATCTTCCATCTCTCCACAGTACAATGATGAAGAATGCTTATCCCGGTATCTCAAGAGGACAGAATTTCAGAGGGGGCTGCCTTGGGACTTTAGGAGCCCGAGAATCACGTTTGTGTCCTGGGGAGAACCCTGGTTCTCCAAGTTGACAGCAGACACATCCTTTAGTCTCAAGGAGAAACACTTTCTGAAGGAAGTGACAGGAAATCCCTACCTCTGGGCCACTTTCAGACACCTTGCCTTCCATCTGACCACACATCTGATTCCGCCCCCCCGCCCCCCCCCCGCCCCCGCCTCCTCCCCAATCACTACTCTTTTTGCTTGGAAGCAAGGGAACAAGCCGGTTACGGGAAAGAAATCTCTCCTACAGCTTTAAAAGCCCCAAATCAGGACAGGTGCCTAGACCCTGGCGTCCTCTCCAGGGCGGGGGAGGGGGGGAGGGGGGAAGGGTGCGGTGGAGTGGGGGCAAGGAAAGAAGACTGGAAGACGGAGCACCTGGCCCAGGTAGGTGTGTCTAGTCATTCTGAAGCAATCGCATGGGTTTGTAAGGGACCAAATTCCCCGGAATTCTTTTTCTCAAAAACAGTTGGGGGTAATATCTTACAAGGTCTCCTGGCACCCCCTCACGCCTACATCCAGCCTGGCCTTGAGTCACGTTATTCGGGCCTCTAGAAGCAACCAAAGACTGACAGCATCCCAAAGCCAACACCCACACCACCACACACCCACTCCATCCGTCCTTACTCCGTGCGTCCTAAGCTTTGCATCCCCAGTGGGGTACCGGTGACAGATCTCAGACCTTCGTCTAGCCTCCAGGCAAAACTGCTCAGGCAACAGTGTGGCCAAACAGTGACTCCGGTGGGGACGTAAGACCCGCCTCCTCGCATCCACCCGGCGCTAGCTCAGCACCCCGCCACTCGGCGTCCCGCGGCGGCACACGCCCCAATCCGGCGGCGGCGCAACTCACCTGCAGCTGGGACCGGCTGGCGTTGCCCGCGGCCGCGTGGGACCCGTCGGCAGCTCCGGAACCGCGCAGGACCGTGATGTGCAGTGTGAGCAGCAGCAGCCCCAGCAGCAGCAGCAGCTCGGCCGCCAGACGCACCATCCTCTTGAGACGCGCGGCTTTAGGACCCGGCACGGCGGGTGGCGGTGGCGGTGGTGGCGGTGGTGGTGGCGGTGGCGCCGGGGGAGGAGGAGGAGTCGGAGCCCCGGAGCCGGGCTGCGTGGCTCCCGCCTCGGCCCCCTCCGGGGCCCCGCTCTCCGGGTCCGCAGGATGGGCGCTGGGCGCGTCGGAGAGCACCAGATCGGGGGAGCCGGAGCCGCACGAGCCGCACGAGCCGCAGGCGCCGCCGCCGCCGCCGCCGCACAGTGGAGCCACCGCGGGGCCGGGAACGTCCGAGCCGGCTGCGGAGCAAACCCCGGCGCTGCCCGGCGGCGGCGGCGGCGGCGGCGGCGATGGGGACCCGGGACTGCCCGGGACCCAAGCCGGTCCGGGGGCCACCCTGCAGGCAGGGGGCGGCGGGGATGGGGGCGGCGGCGGGGCAGGCGCAGCCGAGCCCCCGAGCGCACATGGGCGCCCCAGATGTGAGCGCAGCGCCGCAGCTGGAGCGGGAGAGGCCGCCAGAGGAGCGCGGGGAGAAGGAGGAGGAGGAGAAGGAAGAGGAGGAGGAGGAGGAGGAGGAGGAGGAGGAGGGCGGCTTCAGTGGCCTCCCGGAGTTACCTTCACGCTTGGCTCCCCCGCCCGCGCCTCTCAGAGCCACTCACCCGGCTAGCCACCTCCTTCACTCGGCTGTCCTCTCGGGGACGCCGGCCTCGCCGAGTTCCAGATAAGGGCTCGCGGGACGCGGAGATGCTCACTGTTGGCAGGTTTGGTGGCCCGGGGTGCCCCGCCGTCGCTTTGCGTCCACGGGATCGGCTGTGCCAAGTGCGCGGTGCCCGGGAAGCTCGTGGCACGGGCGAGGGCAGAACCCTCGTGCACGCACAGAGGATCGGGGCTGAGGGTGAGTTGGGGTGAAGAGCCGGGGGCCCGGGGAGGGGGGGGGGGAAAGGGAGGAGTTGCCTAGACGAGTTTGGAAATCTTTATTGGGAAAATGATGCTGGAGTTGAAGGAAAACAGAGGGATCGGACACATCAGGTGTCTGTCTGTCTGTCTGCCACTGTGCACCTCTGGCGGGGTGGAGGGAGTGACACAAAAGTTGCTCTTCCCAAAGGCTCTTGACACTTGCTGTCTGATTCTCCGCTCCGGGCCCCCGAGGATGGCACTTCCGCGGCGCCCCCGTAGAGCCGGGCAGGGAGGCGTGCGTCTTTCCCGTGGAGCTCGCAGGTGTCCCGGCGCCGGAAGGTGCAGCGCCGCGGTGCCCGCCCGCCCGCCCGCGGCTTAGGCGCTTAGGACTGTAGGAACAGCACTAGCGGTGACTCTCGGCTTTGGTGATCTCGAGTTTGGGATGGGGTGGGGTTCATCCCGGAGGCGCTGTTCCCGGAGGAGATTTGGGGGCTGCCTTAACGCAGCGACTTCTCCTGGGCCACCGCCTCATGACCGCGCTGCAGCCTCGGGCTCCCGCGCGCGGCTCATGCCTTGCCCAGGGGACGGCTGGCCCCCGAAGAGCTCTGGGTGGTGAGCGGAGAGCGCGCAGGATCCTCGCTGCAGTTGCTTCAATGGACTGGGTGGGCCCAGCGGTGGGATCCGGTGACGGCCGCGGCACGGTGAACCCGTTTCCTGCCTTTCCGGGTTGGATGTATTCTGGCTCGCGCCTTCACCCCGTAGTGGCTCGGAGTGGCGGGCTCTCGGGGAAGCTGGAGCCTTTTATACCGCCTTTCCTCCGCCTCCCACCCGCTTTCCTCCCTCCCTTCTAACCCGCGCCAGCCCAGCCCTCCCCTCTGGAGGAGACCAGCCCCGAAGCCTAAGCTTTCGCACACATCCTTTCCACAAATCTGCAAGCCCATTTCGCACCACGGACCCCTGTGCAACCCAAATGAGTCTTCCTCCGGAGTCTTCTTTGATGAATAAAATAGTAAACAAAATAAACAAAGCTTTCTCAGAGGTACACCCCCCCCCTTCCTTGTGCTCACTTTCTGCTTGCATTCTCCGCAACTTAAAAGTGATGAAAGAAACCCCAATCCAACTGCCTGCCGAGCTCACATCTTTACGCAAGGAATCTCAGCCAAAGCCTACCCACATTCAGACGAATTCTTTAACCCCGGGGAGAGTTCCTTGGTCCCTGTGGCGTTTAGCAGAATTTAAATAGCAGTAGTTAAGGGACGGTAATGCTGGTGGCGTTCATTTGTGTCCGGTAAAGGAAGGGGGCTATCTCTCTCCCTAAAGATGTCCCAAGCATCTTTACATTCTAACCAGGTCCTGCATCTTATTAATAAATTAGCAGCTATTTCTAGAACGTGCGATGTCTTTTCCTGTTCAGTGGTAGGGTATGAGTGTGTGGAGGTTATTTGGAGGCAGTACTCGCTTTTTTTTTTTTTTTTCTTTTGGTCTATCAGGCATCTTACTGAGGTCGCCAGGCTCTAAAATGGCAATAATTGTCAACTGGAGCTTTGAGGAGAGAAATGGAAACAATGAACTGTCCGTGGTTCAGATGGGAGATCAAAGAGGTGATTCCAACAGCTCCAAAGCCTCCAAAGACCCTCCTGTGTGCTTTCTAATTAGAATCACTTAAAGGAGGGTTAGAAGCACAGAGAGGTAACCTCTCTCTCTCTCTCTCTCTAATCTCTGTATATATATGTATATATAAAGGTATATTAAGATGGTAAACAAGAGTTATGTAGTTGAAGATAGTTTAAGTACTGATCTAACCCCCTTCTCCCCTGCTCCAGTTGTGCCAGATTATGACCCAGATATACAGGCATAACTGACTTTCCTATTGTGAAAGGCAGGCTGGTGTAAATTAAGATCTACAGGCTGTTAGCTGCTACCATTTTTTTCACCCACAATTCCCTATATGTGAGCCTCCACCTGAAAATTCTTTTTATTTTTTTAAAAAATCCTCAGGAAAAGTTACTTAAAAAAAAACTCTGGAAAGAAGCCCTTGCCATGAGTATAAATTCCCGTAAAATTGTAAGTAAGTGGAGATTTGGAGATCAAAGTCTTTGTAAAGCATTGTAAAAATGTAAATTGAATTTTGGGGTGCAGATGTCTTTATTAAATGTTGAACAAATGTATGAATGAGTCCTATTAAAGTCCCTTCATGCTGGGCCATCCAAACCCTAGGTAAGCTTCTGTTCTCCAAGGCACACACAAATAAGATGTGGAACTATCCATGCTCCATGAAGGTGCCAAACAAAGCAACACTCTGCTTTTGACACCTTAGGGAACATTGGCATATATGTATGTATACATGTATATACATACATATATACATATACACACATATATCCATATATATACATGTATATACAATGGCATATATGTGTATACATTGGCATACATCTATGTATATATACATATACATATATATACACATGTATATATTATGTATATACATATGTATATACATATATATGTATGCCAATGTATATACATATATGCAATATATATGTATATACATATATGCCAATGTATATACATGTATATACATGTAGCACAGTGACAAACTTCCAAGCTTAAACCAAAAAGTTTCAAAAACATTTATGAAGTTGTACCAGTAGTCAATACGTGGCCATTGTAACCTATGACATCATCATGGAAAGAAGGGTGACTGCAATACCATAAGAAATTTTGGGAGATAATCTATTCATTACTTCTATGACAGTACATTCTTATAATTGTTCTGTTTTACTAGTAAGCATTGTTCATATAAATTAAAATAGGTCACGGGAATATATGTATAAGTGAGAACATAGAATTGGGTGCTATCTGCAGTAAGAACATGTAAATAAAATAAATAAAGCATATACATATGGTATATGGGCTTTCAAATAGATTTGTGAAGTCAACACCACAAACTTCTCCTGAGTGTAAGAATTATTAGCAATCTGGCATTATAGTGGGGGATGTTATGTGCTCACTATAACCTTTCCTTCCTCCTCCGCCTCTTCTTCTTTTTGCTTTCTTTCTTCTTGGACACATCCAGAGAATACATTCCCCAATATCCTATGTTTGTGATTTCATTCTGGCAGATAGTACATAAATGGAGGTGAAATGTGTGTTCCTTCCAGATTTAGTTCATAAAAAGCTTCAGGGTACGATTCTGGGTCTTTTCTCCTTTGTCTGTTGGCTGGATATTTCTTCCCACAGTGACTTTGAAGCATGAATTCTTAGAGAAAAAATCCAGACCTAACACCTAAGAATACTCTGATTGAGCTGTTGTGTGACTCAAAAATATACTTTAAAAATGTTAAACAACTAAAATTTTATGATTTATTTCAGAAATTTGCATTGCCCTAGTACAAGTGCAAGGGGAAGATGGCAAACTTTCTCAAGAGACTGAGATCGGAGGAGCACAGTTCCAAGCCTTGCCTGGCAGGGAAGTCTGTAAGACTCTTTTCTCCAACTAAGCATGAAAAAAAGCTGGAAGTGGAGCTGTGGCTCAAGTGCTAGAATGCTAGCCTTGAGCAAAGAAACTCAGGGAAGCTGGGCATTGGTGGCTCATACCTATAATCCTAGCTACTCAGGAAGCTGAGATCTGAGGATTGTAGTTCAAAGCCAACCTGGACAGAAAAGTCTATTAGACTCTTATCTCTAATAAACTACTCAGAAAAAGCTATAAGTGATGCCTTGAGCACAAAGAAGCTCAGAGACATTGCCTAGGCCCTGAGTTCAAGCCCTAGGACTAGCTGAAAAAGAAAAAGAAAGAAAGAAAGAAAGAAAGAAAGAAAGAAAGAAAGAAAGAAAGAAAGAAAGAAAGAAAGAAAGAAAGAAAGAAAATTGGTCATTGCAGATATTAGCTCTGCCCTATCAGTAGGAAAGCAACCCTTGAATATATGATTGAATGGGTGAAGTTTTTTTTTGAATAAGACACATAAAGCTGAAACACATAAACTAGTTTGATAACCCCCATTCTAATGTGCATCTCACCACCTTTTCTTAGATGCTATGTCTGAAGGAAATATAGCAAAACAGAGTATAAGTAGACTCAACTTACTAGTCATGTAACC